ACGAAGTCGTGTATTCCGGCAACTTTCCTTAATAACGTTAAAATCATGACCAGCTTTTTAACCTACAAGACTTTTATTGAAGAAGGAGACCTTGTCATTGCGTACATGGTAAGTTTTTTTTTTCAATTATACCTTTTTATATGGTTTTAAATATATTTCCATTGGGATTCTAGTCTCGCGAGAACATGACACCGCTAATTATGGATCCTAAATTGACGTACAACAATAAATTTGGTACTTTTCGGCATTCAGATATGATTGGAAAGGAATATGGAACTAAGGTTATTAAGATATATATACGTTTATCTTTGCTGATTTAATAGTTATATCTTTCAAACGATAAGACAGTTTTAATTACATTTTATCCAAACTTAGATGCCTTCTCATAATGGCAGAGGATTTATGTACTTGTTGCATCCAACACCGGAATTGTGGACGCTTGTTGTTCCACATAGAACACAAATCCTATATATGGCGGACATTTCTTTTATAACAACATATCTTGATCTAAAACCTGGCTCAATAATATTGGAATCTGGTAATTAATTAAAAGGTTTTATTTGAAAATTTGATTTATTTATTTAATAATCATTTTATATTATAGGAACTGGAAGTGGATCCTTTTCTCATTCCCTAGCTAGAACTGTTGCACCAAATGGTCATTTATATACGTTTGAATATCATGAAGAACGTGCAAAAGCTGCAAAGTATTTTAATATCTTTATAATTTCTAAAATTTAGATAAATCATTAAAAATATATGACTATTTCATTTGTTGGTATTGATATGCAGGATTTTGAAGAACATGAGGCAAATCATTCAAATATATGATTAACTCATTTGTTAATATTGACAGACAAGACTTTGAAAAACATGGTCTCTCTGATCTCATCACTATTGAATGCAGAGATGTTTATAAGGATGGGTTTGGAATAACTGATTTGGTACATGCTGGTATGCTTACAATTTTTTTTTTTTTTTTTTTGAAAATAGGATTAGATAACCTATTTATTTTACTTAATTATAGTATTTTTGGACTTGCCTGCACCATGGGACGCAATCGCTTCAGCTAAAGCTGCTTTTAAGGTACTATTTCTTTCGATCAATTAAGATGATCTAGTTGATTGTAACATATATCTATATATATATTTTTCGTAGCAAAAACGAATAGGTAAAATTTGTTGTTTTAGTCCATGCATTGAACAAGTACAACGGGCATGTGCTTCGTTGAACAAACATGGGTTTGTCGGTAATTATTTAGAATTATTCTTTATGTTTGTATATCTTTACTACTTTGTCATTAAACAAACATTTATCAATCTTGATTAACAGAAATTAAAATGTTTGAATGCCTTATTCGTAATCAAGAAGTGCATACAATCCCAATATACACCGTGAAAGATGCTGTGTCCAAAATCAAAGTTCAACAAGACAAAAAACGTAAGCGTAACGAAGAAGAATCATCTAATTCGAAAGCAGCTAAATCTCCTAAAATTAAACAAGATCCACCAAATTTATATGTATCCAAAACTCCAACTGAAGCAAAAGGTCATACTAGTTATTTGACTTTTGCAACGTTTTTGCCAGTTTTAGACGATGAAGTTGAGATTATTGATAGAGTGAATGAATTAGATTAAGGACATGTTTCGAAATTGTACAAGAGAAAAGTATGTAACATGCAACAGGTCGCATACATGTTCATTTTATCCGAGTTAATATAGAAAATAAAATTATAAACATAAAAAAACAGATTTTTATACTCTTTTTTTTTTTTGATTATATTTGATGTATATGTTCAAACATATATATAAATAATTCTCAAGTTCAAATTTATTGCTAACAAAAATCTACAAGATCTTTATCGCTCGGGACAAGTTAAACCAAATACATTAGTATCTGATTAAAGAAACACCAAAAGGTGTTAAAAAACAAGTTGGTTTAAAACAAAAAAAAAAAGGAAAGAATTGACTTTGTACATTCTAAAAATGGCCCTAATAAGAATATTTATAAATATTCAAAAAAAAGGAAAAAAATTATTTTTTACAAGAAAAAAAAATTTAATCATATCCGGTAAAGAACAAAAAAAATCCGTTTATTACTTGATTTGACTAAAAATA